ATCCCATCCCATTCCAAAGGGAAATGTCCTCTCCATCCCATCCCATCCCATTCCAAAGGGAAACATCCTCCCATCCCATTCCACAGGGAAGTGTCCTCTTCATCCCATCCCATTCCAGAGGGAAATGTCCTCCAATCCCATCCCATCCCATCCCATTCCATCCCATCCCATTCCAAAGGGGAACATCCTCCTATCCCATCCCATCCCATCCCATCCCATCCCATTCCAGAGGGAAATGTCCTCTTCATCCCATCCCATCCCATCCGAAGGCTCTTCCCGTGTTCCCAGGGGGACTCAGCACAGGAAGTTTCCCAGCTTTTGGAAAAACTGGGATCAGCAGGAAACGCCTGAAGAAAAACCTGGAATGGGAATTCCCAGGCTCTGGGCCGTGGATATCCCAGTCCTGGATCCAAGGGAGAATCCCAGCATTCCCAACATTCCCATGGATCCCTCCGTGCCCGGAGCCAACATTTGGTTCCACCCCTGACTCCCTATTCCAGCAAAACCCTTGGAAAAGTTATCCCTGTTCCTGGGAATTGTGTTTGTGGGATCAACTCTGACTCCCAAAAAAAAACCCTGGAAAAGGGACATTTGGGATGGATGGGAGGAGCAGGGATGGGGTGGGAACGGAGCAGTTTGGGATCCCAAATCCCAAAAAATCCCAGGATCCCACCATCCCTTCCCAGGGAACGGATAAAACCCGGAAGGAATTCGGGATCAAACCCGTCATTCCCACCGACATTCCCAAGATCCCTCGGAATTCCCAGAGGGAAGAGAGCTGGATTTGCACCCCGGGAATTCCTTAAAAAAGCTGGAATTCTCCATAATCCATAAAAACTCCCCCGGGGGGTTGGTCCTGCCCCGGGTTTGATCATGGACTACACATTCCCACCGGGAATTCCGGCTGGAAAACCGGCAGGAAAAAAAGGGAGACGGATGAGGGATCGAAATTAAGAAACTACAACCAAAAAAAAAACATGGAAAAGGCTCATTTTGGATGGGAAAACCCACGGGAATCAGGGAAAAATCACCGGGATCTGATTGGAAAAATGGGAAGCTTCGATTTCCATGGAAAAAGGAGGAGGAAGGAAATGAAATTAATTAAATTAATTAAATTAATTAAAGGAATGATGGGGAAATCAAAGCAAATTAAATCCCATCAGCCGGCCCAGAATTCCAAGGAGAGTCAAAATTCCAAGGAAAACAGCATTTCCTCTTCCACCTGTAAAGGTTGGGATCCCCCTCAGATCATTCCCGGATGGAATTTTTTGGGAGGGAAAAAGGAGGATCCTCCCCCTCATTCCCAGGTGGAATTTTGGGAAGGAACAAGGAGGATCCTCCCCCTCATTCCCAGATGGAATTTTGGGAAGGAACAAGGAGGATTCCCCCCCCTTATTCCCAGATGGATTTTAGAGGGAACCAGGAGGATCCTCCCCCTCATTCCCGGATGGAATTTTTAGAGGGAACAAGAAGGATCCTCCCCCTTATTCCCAGCTGGAATTTTTTGGGAAGGAACAAGGATCTTCCCCCTCATTCCCAGATGGAATTTTCGGAGGGAACAAGAATTCCCCCCCATCATTCCCAGATGGAATTTTGGAGGGAAAAAGGAGGATCCTCCCCCTCATTCCCGGATGGAATTTTGGGAGGGAATGAGGAGGATCCTTCCCTTATTCCCAGATGGATTTTAGAGGGAACAAGGAGGATCCTCCCCCTCATTCCCAGTTCGAATTTTAGGAGGGAACAAGGAGGATCCTCCCCCTCATTCCCAGCTGGAATTTTTTGGGAAGGGAACAAGGAGCCCCTGCTTTGTTTTGATCCCAAAATTCCCTTTCCCAGGGGAAGGAAAACGCAGGAAGCGAAGCCGGAACCGCGGGAATTTTGGGGAAGGGGAATTTTCACGGAATCTCGAGGGATTTTGAGGGATTTTGGGATATTTGGGAATGTGGGAGAAGCCCCCCCAGGAACTTACAGGAGCCGGGGGTTTCTCGAGACTTTCCGTGCTCGAGGAGAATTCCTGGGAAAAAGGGGCAGGAAAAGGGGGGGATCGGCGGCGGTTTTTTGGGGAATTTTTTCCGGGATGGGAAGGAGGGAAAAGGGGGAGAAAAAGCCACAGTTTAGCTCCAGGTTTTCCAGAGGTTTTTTGCCCCCATGCCTTTGGAATTTCGCCCCAAAACCCGACAGGTGGGGATTTTCCAGGAATGAGAATTCCCAGGATTTCTGGTTGTGGTGATGGAACCACCAAACAGGAGCAGATCCCAAATCCCCACGGGATCACCCCCCTTGGATCTTCCCAGTTTCCTGGGATCCCTTTGGATCCGTCATCCCCTAAGATCCGGCTCCAGATTCCTTGGGAATCTCGGAGATCCCGGAGATCCCCAATCCAGCCTCTCTCCAGCACCAAATCCACTTGGATTTTCCTCCCTTGGGATTTATCCCCCAATTCCTCCAGTTTTCCTCCTTTCCCGGCTCCCTTCCCATTCCCAGTTTTCCCTTCCCATTCCCAGGGATCCCTTCCCAGCCTCTGGAGAAGCTCCTGGAGGTGCCTCTTCCATCCATAATTTATGGGAAGCTCCGGTTTCCGGGGCCGTTTTCCACATTAAAGATTCATCGGGATCACAGCCGGGTTTTTCCAACCGGAAAACTGCTCCCAATCCCTCCTTCCACCCTCATCCCAAAGATCCTTCCCTCCAGGGGCTCCTTCCAAGGATTTCCAGCTGGGAAAAGGGGGGGGGATGGAATCTCTGGGAAGGCAGGGAAAGGAGCCGAGGGGAAGCCAGGGATGTTGGAATTCCAGGATGAGCCAGGGAAAGGGGCCAGGCTGTGGAATTCCCGGTGGGTTTGGAAATCCGGGATCCACTTCCCAGTCGTTCCCACTGGGAAGTAAAACTGCTTCCCAAGGGAGGATTTTTTTCTTCCCTGCTCCCAAAATCTGCCCTCAGGAGCAGCTTTCCCGCTGGGAATTCCCACTCAGCCCCTGTTTCCCGCCGTTCCAAGCTGGAATTCCCAGCTCAGCCCTCCCTGGATCCGCAATTCCAGTTCTTTTCCCTCCAGGCTCCACATTCCCACAAAAACAGTGGCTGCTCCTCCCTCTGTTCCAGGAATCCCTCAGAGGAATATTCTGGGTTTTTCTGGGAAAAATCCCCCTCTCCCAGAACATCCCAACATTCCCACGGTGGCACTTGGAGCATCCCGGCCTCAGATCCAAAGGAATTTCATCCCAGGTGTTTTAAAGGTGGATCCCAGGGGAGGAATTCCCAAAGGAATTTCATCCCAGGAGCGGATCCCAGGGGAGGAATTCCCATTTGGAAGCAGCTTGGGGTGGTTTAATCCCGTTGCTTCTGGTGTCCTTGGCAACCCTTGGAAGCTGGAATTGTCCCTTCCAGCAGGGAAAAAAGCCTGGAATGCCAGAGCCGGGAAGAAGGGAAGCAGCTGAATCCCACGGGAGCAGCTCCGTGGATGAAACCCATGGAATTTTCTCCCTCCTCCCTCCCCAGGATAAACCTCAATGGGAAAAGTTGGGACAAGGAGGGAATGGGATTCCCAAGGATTCCCAGGGATTCCCAGGAGCCCTGAAGAGCTCCTTCCCAGTAGTCTGAGCTCTGGATCATGAGCTCAGCCCTGGAGAGCCCTTTCCCTGGAGGCTGAGCTTTGGAGCTCAGTCCTGGAGAGCCTTTTCCCAGTAAACCGAGCTTTGGAGCACAAGCTCCTTCCCAGTAGTCTGAGCTTTGGAGCACAAGCTCAGCCCTGGAAAGTTCCTTCCCATTAGGCTGAGCTTTGGAGTTCAGCCCTGGAGAGCCCTTTCCCATTAGGCTGAGCTTTGGATCATGAGCTCAGCCCTGAAGAGCCTTTTCCCAGTA